ATTCACGGATTTGAGCTAATCCTCCAAAATCGGGGAATAAAATCCTAGGAAACCATAAAAAAAGAGGGAATCCTCAATAGTCGCGTCACTTGAAATTATTTTAGGCGGGATTAGAGTAAATTAACCTATGATACCTTTTTTTCCTTTTTATTAACTATATTTGTTGTACGCCAGCAATATCAAGCGTGGGGCGCGCGCATACCTGATTCAATTTTATTACTCATCAGAAAATTTACCAGCCTACCCTCAAATTAGAGCAACTTAATCTGTGAGACTTTGGACGTGGCCAAATAACCAATCGAAAAGATTTAACCTCCTAGTCCAAAACTGTAATTGGTCTCAAATCGGCCAAGAGATGACGGAACAATGAGCTAAAAGTTTATACTTGAAAAACAAAAAACTCAAGAGCTGTTCTACAAGCCGCAGCTAAAAATTGCTAATGAAATCAAGAGAAACGAGTGTTTTGGTATTGACAGATCTAGATGAATAAGATATAAGTATACTTATTGTAATATCTTCCATAAAAGTTGTTCTCAAATGTTTCTGTTCGCGTATCACCTGATTTTTTTTTAAATCTCTGCTGACCACAATCGAATCGGCATTATGTTGCTACTAACTTTCCACAAACCACCTCAAGCTGACCACAGATAAAGAACCGCTGTTCTATAATATTAAATAACTAGTTATAAATGACCATGGATGCTTCTTGCACGTGGTTAGCCGCCATTATAATGACTATCAAAAGTTTTCAAACAATATGATAAACAAAAATACGGATGGTGTTTTTGCGGCAATGAATCTTCAAATTCACAGCCCGTGCACGCTAACTTCTAGGCCATGTCCAGTCCGTTTTGTTAATATTCTATGTTTATGCTAAAAAAAATTCACAGAATTCACGACTAGCCCAGGGTTTTCAAAATGAGTGCTATATTACGCTCTTGAAAAACAATTTTCAAATAAGTCGACCATCCCGACAACCTCTTAACCCCCTCCTGCCAATTCTGTAACCTATGTATCATTAAGTGGACTATTACACAAGTAGGTTACATAGTAGCTATTCCCTCCCATCAAACGCATACATGCCCGACTTCTATATGCCACCTTAAAAATAATTATATAAACATAAACAAATTAAGAGCAAATACTCGGACATATATCACAGATTTTCTTGTTAATTGTGGCAAAAAAAAAACAATTTTATTAACTTAATTAATCATTATACACAAACATATCTGTTTTTTTAGTATTTCATAAAATATTTTAGCAGAGTTGTTTGATAACAAATTTTAATGGATTTTTTTTTCAAGTGGTATTGCCAGTTCAACGACCGATTAAATTTCATCGGGTCAAAGTTCAGGAGATCAGCGCGGGAACTGTAGGAATTTCGTACCAAGGTGCTGACGTCACGTCATATAAACAAAACAAACAGCATACCACTTGTTGAAAGACTTTTTCTTGTTTATCCCAATTACGTTTTCTAGGTCAGAGTTTTGGATTCATTACAGTTATGTTAAAACGTCCACAAATAGGAAATGTTTTTCTGTAGTTCTTTTTGATGTACAATGTTGGCTATCTACCTTGGTTAATTACTAGTAATCAAGATTTTTCTGTTTCTAACTTTAACATTAAACACGTGTTGCTGTTGTTTTTTTTATGAGGCGGTTATGAGTAAAATTATTCATTCTACATTTTACTCAGTTGTGACTCTGTATATATTCTTTACTTGTAAGCAACCGATATTTTAAAATGTTGGAATGCTGTCGTTTTACGATGAAAAGCCATTATTTGATATTTCTGATTATTGAGTGCTTGGTACTTATCTAAATTAAAAGCAAGACTCCCCTATAAATGTTATATTTTAAATTCAAATTTTCCACCCACATCATAATTTGTCTAAAAGACAGTATAAATTATAAAATAATATTTAATTCATAGTTTGACGCCGAAACCGTTAGAGGGAAAATCAATCAAGAAGTAACAAATGTTTAATAAAGAATCCAGAAGTTATCAGACTTTAGGATCGATAAATGTTAGAGTGGTAACAGTAAAACTTCAGAATACGATTAATATATACGAACAATTATCTATTCCCCTTTTAATCTCCTGTAACTTGATGGTCTTCACTTACGCAGACAACCCATTCCATAAACTAATCACCCTATTAGAAAAAGTGTTATAATTGGAGCCAAGCCTGTCCTTTCTTCCTTCTGTTTAGGATAAATATATTCCCATAAGATAATGTTTTCATCACCAGAATCATTCCAGTAACTCTCCTCTGAACCTTTTCCAATAAGTCAATATCCTTTTTTCAAGAAGGTCAAAGTGGGGTGGGGATTAGATCTTTATAGGGTTTACGTAATATTTCTACTATTTAACGTCTTTGACGATATCAGCAACGCTGCAATTGATATAAGTATCCTGTGCACATTCTAAACTAGACATGGAGATTGTTAAATGTCACCGATCATTTGGTGATTATCAACAACTCGTTCCACTAAAAAAGCTCCATTTTTACATTGAATTATAAAAGGAGATAAGTACTACATAACTGATTCCTCAGTTCCTTTAACTCTTCTTAGATCTAGAAAGTCTTAGAACTGGAATTTTTAAATGATAAAACTGTGCTGTCAGCAAAATGCAACTGCACAATATTGGTCTAACAAGGCGACTTTTGGGCGAACCAACAAAGTTTGGCAACTACTTTAAATTGGAGAAAGCCTTTTTTTCATGTTTTTAAATAAAAATAATACTAACAATTTATTTGTCCCCTTTATGTTTTTTAATAAATGAAAAGTGGGGTACAAGCTAGCACTTTCTCTTTATGTTCTAAAATTTTATTTTTAACTTGATAATTAAATCATGCATTAATGACACCAGAATAAGTATTTTAGCGATAAGTTTATACATCGAGCTAAAATGATGAATTGTATGCTGTGTTCCCTCTAAGCTGCGCGGTCCACACAACAACTAATCACGTTCCGCGCACTTAATTATTCCAGCAGCGCACATCCTCAGTAATGGTGAGGAGTCTCAACACGTTGACGGCCTTAATGACCCTGGCAGTCGATAGGCCACATAACCAACTGGTAAAATACCACTACCACCCCTAAATTTATATAACACATGGATTGAGAAAATTAGAGGGAACACTGATTGTATTTTGTTGTAGTTATAAACCAAACTGTTGAATGTGGTCTCATGTCCTGGCATCATTTTGAAACTAACTAGATAATTACATTTACTTTTCTTTTTCGAAATGTTTACGTGTTACTGGTGGTTGTCACTGTGGTCCGTTAATTTAGTTAAATCACTCCTGGCAGTGATATCACCATCAACTCTCCTACTGTCTTTGTGTATCTGTGAACTATGGGCGTGGTACCAGTTTGACAACGTGTGGGAAATACATTAACAAAACTCGTATGTTTGGAATTAAGATGATGATCGCGTGAATATCAAATATATGACGAGACACCAAATTGGAAGTTTACTGTCTTTAGTTCCTCATCATTCAATAAGGAAACAACACAGAAATACATAATTCCAAGCGGCTAAAAGTATAACATGAAAAGTCTTAAATTTAAAATAAACTCCACTCCGAGATCTCATATAAGCACAAGAAGGGTATTATCGCACGAACACACAAAACAGGTATTATTTCTCCACTTTTCACACAGTTACCGTTTTGATTCTTTTACGAATGTATTCCAATCGTTATTGAATCGTGTAGCTACAACACGACATAACCTTTCTGCCAGAGCTTTTCGCGGTTTCTAAAAAATCCACGCATGATATAACATTTGGTAATTACGCGTGGAGAAGTAGTTCTCAGGAAGATTTGAATTAATTCACAGGAGTAACTGTATCATAAATATGTTGTGTGAATGGCATAGGAATCAACACGATTTAATTGCTGTATCATATTAAAATTTTCCACTTATTGTAAAATCGAGAAAATAAGAATCCCAAGCTTCAAATTTTAATACTTTGTGACATAAAACTACTAACTGTTAAGAATCCGATTAATGTGTGCTCAACGGATATGCAAAATAATATCCTTCGAAAAACCACGAAAGGCCCGTGTTTGTGCTATTAACAAAATATCTTTAACTCAAACGGTTGTTAATGAGAGAAAAAAAACAGGACGAAATATTTCATCGTGTAATGAGTTGTATATCTATCTTGTTTTTCATGTCATTTTATACTGATTGTGTGAACGGATAACGTAACTGGAAAGCTGAAAGCCGACAGATTTTGAGTGGGGTGAATTTCTAGTATTACGAGTCACGAGCGCACGTGACAAGTTGAAAGCCAATCGAGCACTCGGCCCTACCCTACTTGAGCCTTAAGGAAATATTAAATTTTAATTTAATACCAACAGACAACAGTGTGAGAAAGATTTACGAAGTATGATAACCTACATACATAACAATATAATAAATATTAAGACATGAAAAACGTTAATTGATCACATTATTTTTCCATATTTCAGTGCGTTATTTATCGTACGAACCAATTAATTTACATTGTTAGTAACTGTTACAGAATTAAATTCAGTTATTCAAAAATATGCACTAAAATTGGAATCTCATTTATCAGTATATTAGTGTTGTGTTTCTAAGTCGAGCTAAGTATAGAGCAAGGAGTCTGTTTAAACTAATCGTTATAATGATCGTATCCACAATAGCGAATCCAGGGGGCGGGGTTACAAAACGTTCAAAACTCAACAAGAATCTGTTTCTACAAAGAAAGTAAATTATTTGGTTATTTCAATAACCCTCTCTCTCTACATAAAGAAAGTTACGACCCCTTACATACACTATGTATTGTTTTTAACCAGAAACTAGAAGAGCTGAATAAAATAATAAGCTCCACGCAGGAATAAGTCTTTCTTTTCTGCTCATATTAATTTAAGAGAGAATTCTTTTAGAAATATCACTAATAGAAATATTTCGGACAGCAACTATCATTATTTATGGACATTCCAAACGGTTTTCACTCACCAAGGTGTAGAGTTAAATTTACTTGTGTCGGGTACTGAATCCTTTCAAACATGGTTTCACTCTGCCACCAGGTTTCGTTGTTGTTATTGTTCAAGTCCGTCAGGTAGTCTGGTGGATGAGCGAGCTGAGGATAAGAATTGTCGCATATTTCACACGCCTTTTTCGCTCCTGTTGCACTAGTCTGAAGACAATATTCCGTGGGTCCGCGCATTCCGCACGTGTTAGTCGCTTCCACGCGCACGTCAAAGGCAGCGTTGCTAAATTCTGGCACACATTGTTGGGGTCGACCCTCGTCATCATAACATCGACTGGGCGTCCCCCGCTGGGAAGAAAAATCAATTTCTTCGATATTTTGAGCTGGAATAAGGTTGACGAGGAATAAAAGTACAATCCAAGTGAATGAATCTTTCCTACTATGACTCCGAAGTAAAAAAGCACTATTCGCTACCCGACTCCGTTCCGCCATTTCCTTCTGAGCACGCGACCTTAAATGCACATGTAAAGCTAGCTCAAAAGCTTATCTAAGGAGTGTGAGAGAGAATATGCTAACGGGCCGGTAGCTAAGAGACCGTCTGGCAGTGATTGGCTGTTTGTCCGGTCCCTCTCACGGTTCTCAATAACCCGCAGGATGTTCCCAAATTTAGAGTAGGGCGGGGGTGTAATTCTCAAGTGTTCGAAGAGAAGAGAAAAGAAGGGCATAACTTTTCATGTTTTCTATTCACTTTACTGTTTTAAAACCAGTATTCATTCTCTTGTGTTTCCTATTATTGAAAAATAATGGTTAAGTAAACTTAAACAAAAGTGCCACAGCTTGCTAGAACCGGAAGAGAAACAACTGGCTTCCTGTTAGTGGGCGATCACAAGCAGTTATTAAGTTTGGGAGATTTTCTTAGCCTAATTAGGATTCTTAACCGTACACGATGGAAACCAGATGTGCGGTCGCCCAAGGTTGTATAGTTTAAACTTGCGCTTTCTCTTGATCCTCAGATTATTAGCTAATGCTAAAGAACGTGGTGCTGTATTTTGTTTGTTTTTTTTGTTTTTGTTTTTCATAAACCATATATATATATGGTAAACATATTGGCAAATAAAATTAACGAAAAAAATTTTGGGGAACAATATATCTAGAGAAGAGCAGACAGACAAAATGGTTCATGCTATCGTGGTACATTTTCTGTGTTTGTGGGGAGGGATTAGAAAATAGCACACAATTATTTTTCTAATTAAAATTATAAATGTAAGTCATTCTTTGTGGGTATATCCCCCGCTGGGACAGCGGTAAGCCTACGGATTTGCAACGTTAAAATAAGGGGTTCGATTCCCCTCGATGGACACGGCAGATAGCCCTATGTGGCTTTACTATAACAAAAATACACAAAGGCACTTGGTGTGTATTTCTATTATCCAAGGAAGAGTTGCCCTTGTGACCTCTCAGCAATGCCATTTCGTCTCTCGAAACGCAGCCAATATCACACGTACGTACCTCAAGAACAGGCGTGACCTAGAAATCAGGGTGCTGCTCTATCGATCCGAAGATTCGTGGCTCGCGTCGTACACTTTGTAACTGTGGGTACGCCGAAAGGGTTACGGGTCATGTGGCTCGCGTCCCATTGTTAAAACTCGTCCTGCACTTTGTAACTGTGGGTACACTGAAAGGATTTCTGGTCAAATTCAAATATTCGGCTAGATAAGAGTAA